ATTGAAATGAGTTATAACCTATTTTTTAAATAAAATATTATTTTATTTTTCATTCGAATTTTTCATACTATCGATTTTAATAACATAAGTGAGTTTGTATTAATTCAACGCGTTTGTTTATATATTGAATTGATTCAATACTTTATATTTTTCAATAGTAGAGATTATATTGATATAGTAATTAATAAAGATGTTTTGAAGTATTGAACCGTGATTCTATATATATTTTTAAAAGTTTCTTATATTGCATTTGTTAATAATTTAATTAAAATTATTTAATAATTAATATGAAAATTAATAATTTATTTAACATATTTATTATTTTACACTAGAGTTTTATATTATATATATTTATTGTATACAATTATTCAAATATGCTCGTTGCCCCAACAACTTTGCCCATTCAAATATGCTCGATGGCAAACTTTGCCCATTCACCCGGGTTCGAATCCAGCAACGCTCAATTTTTGGACAAAAAACACCCAAAATCCGGGTAGACCCGACGGGTCTTCGGGCCGGGTCCTCGGGCCCCCCGCCGGGCAGACCCGTCGGTCGGGTCCAAGATATCTGGACGCGAAACCGACCCGTGCTTGGGCGGGTCCGGGTTCGGGTCAAACCCGGCCCGTGGCCATGTCTATATATAACTTCCAACTAGTTTATAAACCTTTTTCTCTTGACCATGGACCCTAATTCCTTCGGGTTGCTCCATAAATATTTCCTCATCTAATTCTCCATTTAATTTTTTTTTTAACATCTATTTGATGAATGTCCATATTATGTATCCATGCGATCAGGATTAACATCCTAATTGATGTTATTGTTGATATAGGAGAATAAGTGTCGAACTAATCCAAGCCTTTCTTTTGTCGATACCCTTTAGCTACCAAACCAGTTTTATACTTATCTACGGTACTAACGGTCTTTAGCTTTCTTTTAAATATCCATTTATAACCTATTGGTTTGTTTCCTGGTTGTAAATCCACCAACTGCCAAATTTGTTTTGTAAAATGGATTTAATTTTACTATTTATAGCTTCCTTCCATAAATGAGCCTCGAGTTAAGCCATGTCTTATTGGCTTCTTCCTCTGAAGGAAGATCCGCGACCGGTAGTTCAGGACATTCATTAACTAGTGTAGGGAGGTGCTCTTCAACCTTAAGTAGAAGATATTGATTGTATTTCCATTCAACATAGTTTGCTCTAATAAGTTTTTTTTATTTAATAATTGTGGTAAGTAGGCTAAAACCAGTCATTATGATCTTGAGAATCATGCAGGTAGAATAAATTAATTATTTGATGTTTAATTTATGACTTTAGAAATTTTCATTTAGTTGGCTCTCTCAAGTTGTTCTTTAGAAAAATAATCAACCAACAATCCATCTCAATAATCGATAAGCCACTGTGGGTGGAAAATGTTAGTTTTCAATTGATGGACATGCGAAACATCTTTAATTTTAACATTTAATACGACGGGAATGATAAATTAAATTTTATTGTTAAGTGTGTAACCATATAATAATCTTAAGATAATTATTTTATGATATCCGCCTTCCCACAACATATCACCACTATTAACGTAGGATTGTGCGCTAGGAGACTTACTAAATAACCATATGGTAAAATTATGCTTGTATGGGAACAAAATTCGATAAATTTCCTCTCTCATGATAAAAAATTATATTTATCTTTCAAAATCTACGATGGACAGTAATATTACTGTCTGACAATAAAAAAAGTATTTTTTCGATTTTTTTTCAAGAAAACAAAAGGTCAATGCCATTGCCCGACGTTGGCATGAAAAATGTTTCAAAAACGAAAAGTTCAACAGCCGCTCTCTGGCTACTGTTGGAAAACAATTAGAAAAAAAACTTCAAGAAAAAAGAAAAAATAAATACCAGAGACAAGCGGTCAACATCGATGGTTATAATTTGGGATCAAAATTGGGTTAGATGTCCAAAACTGGCTAATTGGGATTAAATTAAGGTTTAAATTATGGTTTAAATCATGAAAGTGGGGCAAAGTTAGGGTTCAAAAGATTTATGGGTTATTTTGATATATATGAAAGAATTTTCGTTAGTAGCAAATAAGTGTCTGAGGCTGGATCGTGAAAATATATTAAAACGAAAAAATAAAAAAATAATTTGGGTGAATCGTGAAAATTGTTCAAATTTAGAGCTAGAATAAAATAAATAATTAAAATATTCCCCGGCAACGGCGCCAAAAACTTGTTGGGCGACAACCTACACGCAAGTGCACGTATCGTACAAGTAATATAGTGGACAATTAAGTCCGGATATCGAACCCACAGGGAATATTTAATTACTTAATCCTAGACGCTAAATCCTAGCAATTATTATCAAGCCCACCCTACACAGTCGAATTTGGAGAGAATTAATTAAACTAAAAAGCAAGCAAAAACAAGAAAACAATTTAAACACGAAGATTTAATCAGAGAAAACGAGTCTAGGATTTTATTCTTCCCCCTATGTGATTATTACTCCCCCAATTCCTTCAATTATGCAAGCAATTAACCCGGATTATTAACCTGAGATGCTAAAATAATCATAACCCGCTTCCGCGTGTATTACGATTCTAATACTCTAGATTCAATTACTATATTCCTATGCAATTAATTCTAGAACACAGCATTAAACACAAATCTCAATAATGGCTACCTGAGAGATTAACTATATTCCTATGTTAATACCACAAAGGCTCTTCTACCACAGTTCTAATTATTAACCCGATCTTCCGATTCATGCGATTAACAATAACATAAAAGCACATAAGTTGATCAAGTTCATGCACTTAATAAAACAAGTAGAAGAAATAATCCGGAATTAAAACTTGCATAAAATCATAGAATTGGGTTCATAAATCCCACATAGGGTTCCAAATAAAATCCTAGAAATAAAGACTTAGCTACTCGTAATTCTTATGATAAATAAAATAAAATAAATAAATTAAATAAGAAAAACTATGCTTGAATCTTCGTTGATCTTCTTTGCTCTTGATTTTGCGTAAAAAGATGGATCCCCAATTGTGTGCTTGGCTTGGTCTTATATAGGGTGAAGAATTTGGGGAAGAAGGCAGTTTCCTTGTGCAATTAAAATTCCTTTACTGCGCAATTTCGGAGTCTCGGACGGGGGTCTCACAATTTGCACTAAAACTGGGACGGGGGTCTCAGCTTTAAATATTCAGAATTTTGATATTTTCACTTTTGACCCATATTTTCGCCAAAATTGCAGTTTTGACCCCATACTTTTCCAATTCTTCAATTTGTACCTAAAATACAATAAATCAACTTTTTAAGCACCAATTATCGTTAAAACACACCAAAAGCTCAAATAAAAAGATATGATAAAGTGTAAAAATATACACTTAACAATATATTTGCAAAATTAAAAAAAAATAGAATGTGCCTTTTTTTTTTTTTTTAATTAAGTGGCCCTGTTTAATATTTGTCACTTGACGAATATTATTTCCATGCTCTACCAAAAATGGCTTAAGTGGGGGTTCAATTCATTCCCCTTGGGGGCATTTTTGTTTTTACAATATTTTGGATTTTTTTTTTTTGAGAATTTGGGTGATTTTGTAATTAATTACAGAAATGGGATAAAGCGTCATTTAAAGTGACGCGCTTTGCGGACCGTTGGATCGAGCTGCGATCAACGGCCAGAGATTAATCTGGGCGATCGGACGGCAGTTAAAAGGCGTCATTCAAAACGACGCCCTTTGACCCCGCCACACTGGATTACAACGTCATTTAAAACGACGCCTTTTAGCAGACGTTGGATTGTGTTTATATCAACGGCTGGATTTGAGCTAAGGTTTTTTAAATTTACTTAATTTAAATTGTAATACTTAATTGAATTTTAATTTTAAATTAATTATATGTTGTATTTTAAAAATTTTCCTTCATTTATTTATGCAATTTATTTTATAATTCACTATAAAATAATACGAATTTGGGACATTTTTTTTATTCCAATTTCCGATATTCCGATTTCCGATCCGATTGTATTTCCGAAATATAATATATATATATATATATATATATATATATATATATATATATATATATATATATATATATATATTGTATTTTTGAATTATTTTTCTATTGATGTTTTGCAAGAATTATAGTTGCCTTGGTAAATCAATTATGTTGTTTTTACAAGTGTTTAAATTTTATTTGATTGAACTTTGCTTTGGATTTTTGCCTTTTGCCGGAAAATTACGAAAATATTAAAAAACAATACTAAAAATTACCATTATTTCCGATTTTGGAACACAACATTAAGAATTAATGCAATTTCCGAAAATTCCGAAATTCCGTCGATTCCGAGGTATTCCGAAATTGGAATGGATTTTGAAATTCCGATTTTTTTGGAACGGAAATTGGAACCTATTTTGAACTTCCGAAAAAATTGGAAAATTTCCAAAAAAGGCATTTGCGATCCATTCCGTCCGATTTCCATATTTTATTAAATAAAAATAAAATGCCTAATTATTGGGAAATATTTTTTGTCTCTAAATCCTTTATTTTATTTAATTTGTTTTTTATTGAATAACTAAAATACTAAAAAGTTTTAATAAATAACCAACATAAACTACAATAATAATATCACCAATGACGGTGACCTCCGGTGCCACATCTCGGGGGTCTTCTAGTCCTGTGCCCTCTACCAACTTGTTCATCCTCATCACTCGAAGAATTTGCGGATTGAGAATAAGGAATAGGTGTGATCTGATGATCTACTGGTTGCGAAGACGAAAACTGATGCGTAGACCCCAAATGAACTGGGTCTTCCGAATTCATATTTGGATTAAAGTAGGGGTATGGGGTGTACGGATCTGCATCAACGAGATTATAATTATACTCACAGTTGTAGACAGTATTAAAAATAAAATCAAAGGTACTAAACATACCAGATGGATGCCCGTGTGATCTAGGATCTGTATAATTATCGAATGCCGGATAATATGCACGAGAAGAAGTTCATGCCTCGCCAGCGTACATCTGAGTCTGTGACTGAGGCATTTGAGAAAGTGGTATATGAGTCTGAGTCTGAGTGTGAGTCTGAGTATAAGGCATCTCAGATTGAGGCCTATCTGAAGGTCCGTGTCGAGACTCTAAGACATTAAGACATGTTCTGAGAGTCGGTAAATACGAACGATAGCCATCCCGGGGCATGTCTCCGCCATCAACAGAAACAATCAACGATCGAAGATGCTGAATCTGAAATAAGTAATAAGAAATATTTTATTTTTAGAAGACATACATTAATAAAAATTATATAATACACAAAATTTTATAATAAATAAATTTGAATACGTACCACTGTATCCATTGAAATCTGACCTCCAACCTGAAATCCTGTACGATCAGATGGGGTAATCGGTGATATGAAACGACGTGTGTGCAGTTCATACCACTCAAAATAACCATCTTCTGTAGTCTGACTGTCACTGGCATATGGATAATCAATAATATAATTGAGTCTATTATCCCAAGCGGTAACATGCGAAACATGTGTAAGACTCCAGTCTCGGTTGGTAGCATCTGTACGGTTAGCATTGACGTGCATCCGGAAATCCGTCTCAGTATTTTTCAGGAGGTTCAGGTATGGGTTGTACCATCCCGAACTGACGTACTACTATGTCTGGTCGATGCATCTCCACAATTGAGTAGCATATCAGGGGGACTCTCGATACCCATATACCTGAACATGTGATATCCGAATCACCAGCTACAGCCTGATACTCCCGATCATCCATATCATATGGCATCCATATAAACTGATCTGGGAGTATCTGATCCAACATCATCCTAAAAATACGAAGAACATTTGCACCAGTCTCAATGAAGCTGACATGGTTGGTCCACCTGTGATATATTATTATATATTAAACTAAAGATAATAATAAAGATAAGGTTTAAAATCATATTGTTGTTGAGAATTTGAACTGCCGGAAGACATTTAAGAAAAAAATAAAGAAACTCAAAATGACAAAAATAAAAGGTTTTATTTAGAAAATTTTAAAAAAAAAATCTAAGTAATTAAATGTTTTGAAGAAAAAAAAAATATCAAATTTTTTCAAGTAAAATTGACTGAAAATGTTAGAAAAATATAGTGGAAGTTGGCTCAAACAAACCCTTATATTTATAGACACACAAAATTAATACACAAATCACCGTAACAATAATGCAAAAATAATTTAACATAAATCTCAAAACCATTACCGTGCACCGTAAGGTGGTACGGGAAACTCATATCCTGCATACTCAAGTGTTGTGCCCCATTTTGCCAGAGTAGGTATGGGCCTTGATGGAGGAATCCGCATCCATGCCCATATTTGTTAAATAATACAAGAATATAATCTTATATATAAAAGAAAGAAACGCTTGGCAACCCTAGAAAAACCCTAATGGTATTGTTGTAATTTATTTTTAATTTTTTTATACTACTATTTTTTAAGTATAACTTTTAACAATTATCAAAATTGAAACTAAGCCATGAAGAATTCTACCATAATGGTACTTCTGTAATTATTTATTTTTAATATTTTTCTCTTCTAATTTTCTAAATATATTTTTTAACAATTATTAATCTTCTATTTTTCATCAATCTATTTTTAATATGCTCATTATATGATATCACGTGCATCGCACGGGAAAAAATACTAGTTTTTTATAATATAAACTGCACATTAAATGTATTAATGTACTAAATTATATAAGTAATTCATATGTTACCTGTAATAATTGAACAGGACCACTGATTTCTTTTGCAGATATCTTCGATGCTTTGCACAACTCGTGGTAGAGGACTGCTAGAGTACAACTACCCCAACTATATGTACTAACAGCATCAAGATCCTCTAAATGTCTCAAATACATCAACGGAATAGAGTCGCCAGTGTGATCGGGACACATAATCCCCCCTACTATGAGAAAAGCAATCCCTCGAGTGTAATGAATAAGATGCTCATATGTACTATTATCAAGAATGGGATTATTGATTAAATATTTACTAAGGGCTTTGACGCTCAACTTCGATCATTTTATCTTTGATGAATCCGGTGTAAATCCCAGCCATGTCATACAATACTGCTGCCACTCACGAGTCCTACGATGAGTATCAACTCCTATGACCGGACGTCCATCAACCGGTAGTCCGTATATCAACGCCACGTCCTGTAGGGTGACTGTCACCTCCCCTACACGCAAGTGAAATGTGTGAGTCTCCTGGCGCCATCTCTCTACTAATGCAGGCTTGCATACGTCGACATCGATATACACCATATAACTTCATCTAGACCAAATAAGATAACACCCGAGGATGAGAATGAGGGTTGTGCGGCCTATGAAAGACACTCCATATCCCATGATCACTTCGTCTAACTCGTATGCTCGTATCCATATTAGACTCTGTCAAAACACTTGATCTATGATCATTCTGAAGATACAGAAGTGAGGGATCTCGGGGACCGTATACAGCGTTCTCCATTTCAATCATGTTTCAAGTTCATGTGAAAGCACATAAGATGAAACTTATTATTATTATTATTATTATTATTATTATTATTATTATTATTATTATTATTATTATTATTATTATTATTATTATTATTATTATTATTATTATTATTATTATTATTATTATTATTATTATTATTATTATTATTATTATTATTATTATTATTATTATTATTATTATTATTATTATTATTATTATTATTATTATTATTATTATTATTATTATTATTATTATTATTATTATTATTATTAACTGTGAATTGACTGTTTTTTTTTTTTTTCTTCAAAAATATTTTAATTAATATTACTGTATTCGTTGCTAAATTACTGTCCCCAGCAGTTATTTAACTGTCGGAGACAGTAATTTAACTGTTAATTGACTTTTTTTATTCTTAAAAAAAATATTTTTAATTAATATTACTGTATTCGTTGCTAAATTACTGTCTCCAGCAGTTATTTAACTGTCGGAGACAATAATTTAACTGTTAATTGACTTTTTTATTCTTAAAAAAAATATTTTTAATTAATATTACTGTATTCGTTGCTAAATTACTGTCTCCAGCAGTTATTTAACTGTCGGAGACAGTAATTTAACTGTTAATTGACTTTTTTTGTTTTTTTTTTTCCTTGCAAAAAAATTTATTTTAATTATATTTACTGTCTTGGATGTTAATTACTGTCTCCAACAGTAATTTAACTGTCTTAGACAATAATATTAATAATGTTACTGTTCGGAAAAATAATATTCATAATATTACTGTCCCAAACAGTAATATTACTATCTGAGACAGTAATTTAGTAGTCAAGACAGTAATATTAATTAAAATATTTTTTTTCTAAGAAAAAACAATTCAAAAAAAAAAAGTCAACGCCGGAGACTGGCGGTGAACGGTGGTTGACTGGCCGGAAAAAAAATTCAGGAAAAAAAAAATTAAAAAAAAAAAAAGTCAACGCCGGAGACCGGCCGGAATCTGACCGGAAAAAAAACATTTCAGAAAAAAAATTATATTCTGAAAAAAAAAAGTTTTGGGGGTTAATGTGATATATTTGTTTAAATCCGGGGTCAATGTGTAATATTAAGGAAGTAAGAGCATAATGGGTGGAATTGTTAAAAATTATATTATTGAGGGTATTTTAGACTAAAGACATGGGGATGAGCTTAATTGAGAGACTGTTTTTTTTGTGGACTAAAATGCATTTAAGTCCCTGTGATGGCCCTTTTTGCTATTTGTCCTATTCTGTTTTGTCTACATCTATTTAGTACATACATAAAAGGTATGTAGTTATACTTTTTTTGGGCTAAAATATTGTGGTGAAAAAAGAAATAATTAACTTATGATTTTTGTTCTTTGGGCCAAATTTCTTTTTATTCCATTAAGTACTTATGAAAAGCACTATGAGATCTTGTTAAAAACCTTGTGGGCTTAGCACAAGGTAAAGAGTGCCCCTACAAAGGATTAAAAAAAGGACAGATTACTACTCCTAATACAAACTATTACAAAACAACCCCAAAAGTGGGTACTTATTCCAAATACTTTGAGCCCACCGGTCACAAGCATTAACATTCCGGAAATGGTCCAAATAATTGGATATCATAAATTTTCCATTATCAGATAACCCTTTGTCAATGGAATGGAGGAGAGAAGGAGACGATTGTGCAAAAAAAAAAAAAAAAAAAAAACACCATAAAAAAACAAAGGAAAACGGATAAGTGAAGATGTAAGATGTTAACCTAGCTAGTACTCCCTCTGTCGTATAATATATGTACGTCTCTTTTGAAAGTTTTTTTTGTTCTCACTTTATATTTTCAAGAAGCTTATTAGTTTAACTAATTTCATATTTTTTAATCACTATTCCGTTTTCGATTTAATTGCTGTTATTTGATACAATTTCAAGACATATAGGGGTGCAAGATGGGAAAGGAAACTCCAATTTGCACCGGTTCCGATCCGAAAAGTTTTCAATTTTGGAACAACATTTTTTATGCCGATTTCCGAAATTCCAGTGATCGAATTTTTTTCCCTTTTTTTTGACTGGGGTTGGAATTATTAAATAAAATGAAATTTTCGATTTTCGATCTGATTTAAATATTTCCAAAATTAATCCCGAAAAATTCACTTATATATTATGGTGGTGTTTGCAAATGCTTATTAAAAGTGATTATTAGCTTTTTTTTTTTCAAAATCAGTTTTTCAGTGTTTGCAATAGATGATTATGCTTTTGATTCTCTTAAAAAAATCTGATTTAATCTAAAATCTGAAAAGCACCTCTGAAGCGGCTTTTTATATTAATGGCAGTTTTGTAAATAATTAAAAAATAATATTTTAATGTAAATACATTTTTACCCCGTGCAAAGCGCCAAAATCTAAACACGACCTAAAATTTCCCTCCTATAACACACGACCTAAAATTTCCCTCCTATAACACACGACCAAAAACCTCAGAATATATATATTCTTGGTCTCGCCTCCCGCACTGTAAATTCCATTCTCAGAGCATAGAAGTTTAAACGTCAATTGCAATTGGTATGAATTCTCAACCTTTTATGCTAATCTAAGATTATTTTTTTATTCGGTGGCAAGTGTTTTGTGTTTGTGTGTTTGACTTTATTTCTATATTGTATATGCATTGATTTCTCCCATGTCATAGCCAACGCACATGTGTTCAGTCTTTAGATTAGCCAAATGTTTGTTTGTCTTTATATGCATTTACATGAAACATTGATTTTTAATTTTTTTATTGTTGTCATTAAATTTTGATCAGCACAGTGTGTGAGCATGTCTTCTCATCTTAATGGTCTTAACACATTAGCTACTGGTTTTAACACACTAGAGACCGAATTTGAGATCCCTTTGTCCAATAATGAACAAAACTCAAATACAATCGATGTAACCAGCCTTAGAGGTAATGTGGCAAAAAACTCAGAGTTTGTCAAGGCTCATTGGGATAACAAAAGCACAGAAATATTCATTAGGTTATGTGTCCAAGAAATGACAGCGGGAAATCGTCCCGGCAGTCACTTTAATAAAATTGGATGGGATAATCTCA